ATATAGTGGTGAGGCGGGATCCTGATGATCGAGGCACCGAGCAGCTGATTAGCATCCATATTTGTTCCTACAAACATACCCTCACAAAGTTTAATGTGGAATTATGTAGAGATTAGTGACCAGAGAATACATAAAATCAAATTCAGGGTCATGTGTAATACAGTGATATTACTCCCACAATGTGATTACATGTTTATGACAGCTTCCATTTGCCCTCCGATATCTAAAAAAAACTTTTATTGTCTAAGTCAGTTTGTGTTATGCATGAAAAACCCAATAATATAAAGGTCAGCAGAGTTTTCAAGAGCGAACACACCTCAGCTTCTTATCTCTTTAGGGCAAATTCATGATAATGCTGCTATGGGTCAGATGACAACACTTAGCTAGTTGTCTTTTTAAATTGGGGTTATAACTGATAACATGTTGATAAATCGTTGATTTCATCAAGTCTAAAATATGGATTTTAGTTTGGAACAAAAAATTCTGTCAATCAAAGCTCTTCTCTCACACACCCACACAATTACAACGCTAATCTCTAAGAATGTTGCACAACTCTTTCATCACTCCTTGCCTAAATCAGTGATATCAGGTAATGTAGCTTACAAATTCAGTTATGCAATGTCATGTAATCTAAGTGTTCTTTAAAGAAGTAAAATGTTATCTTTCATTAGGATGGATGGGTGGATGTTGCTTATTGACAAAGAAAATAAATATTATTTGGAAATTAAGCAAGATGGCCTGTTACAAGGGGCAGAAAAATATGGCATAATTCGAACACTATTATAGCCTATTTATATGAAAAATGTAAACTTTATCAGTAACAGTTTACTGTTAAAGAGAAGCAGAGAAGTGACCTTAGTTTAATGAGTTTAATTTTTTACACAGGTTTTTTTTTAATCTGATGTTAATTGTAGGCTAATACATGTAATGTAAGCAAATGTATAGGCCTACTATGGCAAAACTGCTAGATGTGACATTAGTAATAGTCTGCGTAGACAGTGGACATATTTTGACTGACCCTCACCAAATTTAAGTCTTTTGTCATGCATGACAAAAGTGACCAAATTAACATTAGAAACAATTAAAACATAAGTAAATGATTTGAGTATTTTAATGGCTGCATTTAGAATAGAAACAAAGCATGGTAATCTCTTTCGTGTCGTTTTTTTTGTTTGTTTGTTTATTGGGTGTTGTACAACAAGTTCACATTTGATTTCAGCACCACAGCAACCATAGATATATATCTATGGACAGCAACAACCCATAAAGCAAACACATTTGTCTTCGAATCAATCAATCACATCTTCCGCATGCTGTGACGTCAGTAGAAGGGCTGTCGATGTTCAAGGTGCACCAATCGTAAAACACCGAGGATGAACGCGGAAATTAGAGACTGACTTTTTTATTTTATTGACGATTATAAACTGAAGAATCCATGACATCTGAAAGAATTGCCTGAGCGTGGTACCACAACAGATAAAGCCTGTGATTAACGACGTCACAAATTAAACTTATAGTCTATTTGATACAGTGTGTGTAAAGATCCTAATTACTTTATGTTAATTTAAAGTCCAAGTACACAACGAGAGTCTTCTGCAATTAAAAAATGCAAGCACGGTTAATGTTTTGCTTATGTGCTGCGTTGCTTTACATATTTTTTTTGCATCGTCCTCCGCGCTTTAGATGTTCATTCGTTCGCCTTTGACGTCATTGCGATTCACAACCAATAAGCAACATTCACAACTAACCAAGTTAGATTAATGTAGCTGTCTAATTAAGTTCTCCTCAAAGTTATGGCGATTCGTCTTCCAATTATTGCAAAATAAACGAGACTTACAGTTTCAGAAGAATACGTCCTTAAAACTGCCAGTCCGAGGTTGGATGGATCCGTCAGTTTAAAGACAACTGAATGAATGCTGCGCAGTGCTCAATAACTATAAAACGCACTGGTAGAGGGGTGTGTCATCCAGGGAAGGAGGGCGCTCAGTGTGGGGCTTTTCCCGGAGCAGGAGTCACAGTATCACGTGGCTTACTGTAGCTGGTTCTTGATGAAGCACATTTCAGCGAGTATTTTATTTCATTTACTTAATACTTTAAAGTTTAAATCATCCAACTAGGTGTTTGCTTTGTAATATTACGATCAAATGATTGTCAATGCCAATGTAGTTCCCACAATATATATATATTCTTGAGAATTATTATTATTATTTTTATTAATGCTTAACACAATACACAAATAATAACAGCTAACTATATTCTTGAGAATATCCTATATCCTTTCTATAAGAATACAACTTCCTGTGATTTTTTTCCTTCTTTGCAACATCAGTATACCTAACCTGCAGCAGAACAGCAAACATCACAAAACCTCAAACAATTTCAGATCAATTGAAGACTACAGCTACTACGTTTAACGAAATGTTTTAAGTTAAAATGTAAAAAGCCAACAGTCAGTCAGTGCCAAATGTCCAACAGAAACACCCACATGCCATAAGTCCTACGGTCCTCATTCTAACCAGAGCCATATAGAGTGAGAGTTGCGACAACTCCATTGACTCCAATGGAACGGTTTTTTACAGCAATGGCGGCTCGCGGAGCCTCTCAATAGTTCCCGGAAGTAGCAGCAGCGCGGTAGAGTTAGAGCAGAACAGACCGTTTGTGATGCACTTTTAAAAGGTAAGACGTTTAAAGAATAAGATTGTATATTATCAGTACATCTGAATCCAATTAACTTGTAAGTTTAACTGTATTAAAGCATGCTAGTTGATTATTGCTCTCTAAATTAGTAGTTTTAGGGGACGTTATCAGGTAAAATAAAGGTCATTGGATAAAGTTAGTACCGCATAACAAACCACGAACAGCATATTAATGTTTAAACCCGTTCTATTAATGCATGTTTATCCTTTGTTGTGTAATAAGAGGGAAATACTTCTAAACAGAGGTTAAATATAACATTGGGGAGTGTGATAGTTGTAATTGATAAAATGAGAATATCGGTTTCAATCCATATTAAATGTGCAATAACGGGGAAAAATCCTTATTTTAGATGTCATATTTGAGTAAGGAAAAACGTATGGTTGGCGTTTTTTATTCATTGTGTTTCTGTTGACTATTACCTGTCTATATTATGATTTAGCTCAGCTGATTTGTATTGATAGGAAAGGGAGATGGAAGTTTATAAGTAAGATTAAAAACATGCTTAAAACGGCAGCAAGCCGTGTTCTAGATCAAATCACACTAGGCTAAATGGGGTATTATAAATACCATAACTGTATTATATACTAACTCCTATATATAATTTATCCCGTTTTTGTTTCCTTTATCTCTTTCAACACAAGAAGCACAAAGAGGATTCGGTGGATCCTCAAGACTCCTGCACTGACGCTGTACCCTCATCAGTCTCAGCTCCTTGGATTTTGCAAGACTTTACTTGCTCCCTATTTTTAATAAACATTAAACTTCCCAGTGTTGGTCTTTGTGGAAAAAGTGCAGATACACCTAAGTATGATTAGCACACAAGTTCTATTTAGATTGCTCCTGACTTGAGCATATTTTCTGTGTCTGACAACATAGAGGAAAGGCCAGACAACATGCTTGACGTGCAGTTTATTAGACATTTATAAATCCCATTGTGCTAATTCAGTGCAAAAGTGTATATATAGGTCATTGACAAATAAACAAAGTCTAAAATCTTTTCAAAACTGATGTAATGTATATTTTTGTGTCATGAACAATGTATTTGAACAAGTTTCAGTTGTGAACATTTCTAAGTGTTTAAATTCACCTGAAAGTGTACCAACCTACCCATAACTTTAAAGCAATTACCAGTATTTGATAGAGATCTAAAAGGATCATTATGGCTCCTCTGGACAATGCATTATCATGCACACTGCAATTACCATAATAAGAGAGCCATGTTTGCAGTTGTGCCCCCCCGACATACAAATTGCTAGACAAAAGGTTTTCAATTATCAGCTATAAATCTACTGAAATGTATAAAATTTGTTTATATGAAAGGTTAAAATGATGCCATAGAATTTCATTTTTATTTTTTTTATGATTAAAACACCATTTAAATTAGTATTTTAGTCTGTTAATTTGTGCGGACAGTTACACAACCTGACATTTTGGGGGGTTTAAGATAACAAAACATAAAATATGTATTATCTAAATGTACTAAAAATTAATTTAAACTAAATAGGTTTTATAGATTTAAGTGATGTATGTCATGAATTTATCAAATTATGTTAAGGAAATAATGTACTTGGACACTTAGAAAATAATGTATGTGTGTATAATCATGTTTTGTTTTAAAATGAAATATGTATTCATTTATATAGTAATAAGTGCATAAGCATTGTAAACATTACGATGAATGCAATTTTACTTGTTTGCAATGGCATTTTAAGACAATCACCTGTTTCCTGCAAGTCTCCTGTCCTTGTGAAACCATAGTGAACATTACATGATAACCCTTAAATAACATACAAGTTTAAGAACACAAAAATACTTCAAAACAACTGCAAAACGGTCTTTAACCAAGGTAAAGTTAGCCAGAAAATATGTTAACAAAGGCAGGCAACACTGGTTGACCACAATAAACATTAAATATCAGCAGATTTTTATCTTTTAAAAACAATATTGCTGTAACTACATATACATACTACATCCAAATGTCAATGTATTATATACATATTGTAAACCAACGCATTTATTGACTACAAACTACCAAAAATCACAGTTCAGCTCTCTCTCTACCTCCATCGATTTGAATTGGCGCCGAAGCACTTCCTGGAACTATCTGAGGTCTACGCGAATCACGTGACAACCAAGCATTTAGAACTTCCGTTGTCGCAACTCTCTCTCTATATGGCTCTGATTCTAACAAGCAACGAGCAGACGTACACCCAATAAAAGTTATTGTTACTCACGGAGGCGTTCTCTTCCGTGTCCCCCTCTCCAATCAGATGAGTCTATGTTGAAGGTTCTGCGCATGCTCAAACGCCACCCTTTCATGTGTTTCTCGTGCGCAGGCTCTGGTGGAGGTCACTGTGATCTAACAGCGTAGTGGGTGAGTGGTCACGTTGGGAGAGATTGTTTTATATGCATTTGATGTATTTGTATTATTTACACAGCGTCAATAATTATAATGTGACTATTGAAAGGGAAACGAGTATGATGGGTTTGTCTTTGTGAGAAGGTTGGCAGCAGGACATGATTGCATGTCAGTTGCAACATTAGCGTGTAGCAGGCTAATTAATTAAACTTCACTACGACGGAAGTATTTTAGTCCCTGGTGATATTTCTCATATAAGTTATTGTGTTAGCAAATACCAATTTATCTGGAGTGTTTTATAATTGTGTAAGGTTGTTGCATGGTCGCTGACCATGTCTGACCCTCTCAAAGTGAGAACACCTTAGCACGTTTCATTCATGTCATGGCAGTGGCACTGCTGAAGAGTCAAGGCTAAACGGACGGAATGTTTTGATTATTTAAGGGCTTTTACATTCATAAGTGAGCATCATGAAGCGATGATTGAGATGAATGTGCTTCTCTCATCAGGACTGTTGCCATGGCTAAACTCTTTGAGTCCATTGGAAAGCTGGGATTGGCCTTGGCCATCGGAGGAGGTGTAGTTAATTCTGCTCTGTTTAATGGTAAGTTCAGTGGTGCTCAACTGTGTAATGTACCTAATAAAACAGTATTTAATTTATAAAATTGATATGTCAAGCTACGCGTTTTCATTTAAATTTGAAGATCTTTTGTTTTTTTCATTGCAGTGGATGCGGGACACAGGGCTGTCATCTTCAACAGGTTTCGAGGTGTCCAGGATGATGTTGTTGGGGAGGGCACACACTTCCTTATACCCTGGGTGCAGAAGCCAATCATCTTTGACTGCAGGTCCCGTCCACGTAATGTGCCAGTCATCACTGGTAGCAAAGGTACATCATGCCATTCTTTTACTGTTTCTGTCTGACTGCCATAGGTGTAATTTGAGGGTGGGACATGTCCCCACCACTTTTTCCCAGGGTCCATATTGTCCTCACCACTTTTTGCCAGGGTCCGTATTGTCCCCACCACTTTTTTAAACTTCTCGTGGCACGGATGTACCTAACAGAAAGAAACATCTCCATTTAATTAGCAATTCGTTATTTTGTGTTAAATAAGAGGGGATCTAGATCTGGAATGTGTTGTTTTTGAAATCACGGTGAGTGGTTGTTGCCACTGTAATCTGTTCTCTCTTGGCTCTCGTGCACAGACGAGCGCTATAAAACTATAGCCAGGGAAGATTAGAACCCAAAACCTCTCTAACCATTTAACATAAGTTCTACCACCAGACCCTTAAGGCACAAGAGCGTTCCATGTGAATCTATATATTTATTCACTGACGTGAATAATATCCGGACTAATATTATACTATATATAGTAAATGTAAGGATGAAATTATCATGTTAAACATGTAAATTAAAATCAAATGTACTATTGGAATTGATTTTCTGGACATTCTAATGTTCTTTTTTCTGCAATTGTTATTGTACATATCATTGTATTAGCACCCCCGACCCACTTTTTAAAACAAAGTTACGCCACTGACTGCTGTTCTTCATTTGTTCTAGAATGTTTATGTCTACCGTCTACTCTTTAATGTTTATCTCATTCTGTTTCTCTCACAATATGTTGAGGTTTCATGCTTCTGCTGTTCATTCTTTTGTCTTAAAACTGGCTTATGGTCTCTTTGTCCTTCTCAGATTTGCAGAATGTGAACATCACGCTGAGAATCCTGTTCAGACCAGTTGCTGGACAACTGCCACGTATTTTCATGAGTATCGGAGAGGACTATGATGAGAGAGTGCTGCCCTCCATCACCACTGAGGTTCTGAAGGCTGTAGTGGTGAGTGTCATACATGACGTTATGAAGACATGTACACTACTCTTCAAAAGTTCGGGGTCAGTAAGATTTAGCCAGGATGCATTCAATTTATCGAAAGTGACAGTGAAGACATTTGTAATGTTACAAATAAATTGTATTTCCAATAAATATTATAAAAAACAAATCAACATATGTTTTTTATAAAAAATGTTAAGCAGCATAACTGCGTTCATCGCTGCCGCTGGCGAGGCCGTCAAAATTCGCTCTTGCCGCCCTGCCAACAACGCTGTAGAAAGATTCGTGGACGCTCTGACGTTGATCGAAAGCTTGGTCTTGTAAACTTTATTTAAAGGGGCCGGAAACAAGCATGTTGATCGGTATTTGTGCAGACCACAAGTAGGTAAGTAGGGTATAAGTTAACCTCATGAAATCTTTTAAATGTAAAAGTAAGAAATTGATCGATGGAAAGATCTTAACAAATATAGTTACATGTTTGCTAACAAAATGAAATCCATTTGTTTGGCTTTTGTGTTCATGATTAAGTGCTAGGTCTAATTTCAACATGCAGTTTATAGGAGACATTTACTAGCCTTGATCTTTAATTAAATGAGTAGTTCACTTTAAAATGAAAATTACCCCATGATTTACTCACCCTCAAGCCATCCTAGGTGTATATGACTTTGTTCTTTCGGAGTTATATTAATAAACACCCTGACGCTTCTGAGCTTTATAATGACAGTGGATTGCAACCATCAGTTTGAAGCTCCAAAAAGGCAAATGGCCGTTTGGCCAGAAGCTAGAATTTTACTTTGTAATGTTAAATAACATGAATATTTTCTTAACACATAAACTCATCGCTTTGCTTCAGAAGGCCTTTATTAACCTCACGGAGCCGTGTGGAGGAGTTATATAATGGATGGATAGACTTTTTTTGAGCTTCAAACTGATGGTTGCAATCCACTGCCATTATAAAGCTCGGAAGGTCAGGGAGGGTGTTGTAAAGCCCGGCCCCGGCTCGATCGGCCCAAAATCCGGCATCCAATCAGCGGGTGAAGGTCTCTGCGTGTTGCTGTCTTTTCTCGTGGCAAAGTATTTGATTAAATGCAATACATTTTTCATATGTATTCTCTTATTTCATCTGACTCCATAAATAAAAAGGTTTTAATTAGGGGTGCTCCGATCAGGATTTTTGGGGCCGATCGCCGATTACTGGAAGCTGTATCACCCGATACCAATACCGATCACCGATTACAGGGTCTATTTGAAGACTTCTTTTTATCATGTAGCATTACTTATTAAACTATATTTAACAACAATGTACATTAAGTATTACATTTAAGAGAAGACGATGTATAATGAATTGACACCTGTGTATTTATTTGCAAGCAACATGTATTAACATAGCAGCTTGGCTATTGGGAGCAGCTTAGGGCTTGACATACAACTTTCCTGTAGAATATAAAATAAAAATAATAAAAGACAGAACATCTGAGTCTTTAAATTTAGCTTTAGACTACTTTAAACTAAAAACAGCAACAAAAAAGGCTATAGCCAAAATAATGTTTTGAGTCAGTCAGCCATCAGTTTTTCTAATACACTTAAAGGACCACAGGTAGTAGGCTAAAGTGCACAGCAACAAAAAAAAAACAAAAAAAAAACTAACAACTTCCATATCTGTATCTATAACTTTGCTTTTTTCTGGGATGCTTAGTCAGATTTTGTGGGCATTTAGAGAGGAAGAGAGAGGTAGAGAAACCTTTTGTTGTGTGTGTGAAGAACCCTTGCAAAATTATTTTAAACAGATTAAGAAAGCCACCACTACTGGTCACATCTATGGTTAGATTGATTTTTTTTTTTTAGATCCAGTGAAGTCTGTCCCACCATGTACCTAATATAAATAAATAAAACATCTTCAGTTAACTAGCAGATCATTCATTTAGTTCGCTATTAAATAAGAAATCTAGCGCTAAAATGTGTTTTTAAACTCAAGCTGCGCGCTCGTTGCTGCGGCGATCAGTTGCATGGATACAGTGCTCTGTGCCTCGCGCAGGCTTCACTCGGACGCGCGCTACATTTTTGTCATTGGTTGTTGCGTTAAATCTTACCCAGATACAATAGTGCTATTTTCTGATTGGCTATTGTGTAGCTCGACGAACAACACCAGAGGAAACGCGCTTGATTCATGCCGGTTCCACAGTGAGAGCGGCGCGGCCAGAGTTTTGGCCGCTGCGGCATATTAAATATATTACAAATAGTTTTTCAGCGTGAGAAATACAATGTGTGGCGGGAGAGCGTGACAAAGGACCGAAATGAGTAACTGTCACACTCAATGCGTGACACTTTAGAGCCCTGTTGTACAATTGCCAGACCGGTGAAGCCATATTTACCAGGGCGTAAAAAAAATTGTCTCGCAAGTTTTGCGTCATCTGATCGGCTTTTCTGGATCGGCCTTTATAGAGACCGCCGATCACACATCCCAAAGCAATTATCGGCCGATTATGATCGGCGACCCATCAATCGGAGCACCCTTAGTTTTAATGATATCTGTGCATCATTAAATATAAGCGAATGCTTGAATATTCCTTTTAACTCTAATGAAATATCAAAGTCAGTTAGAATAATCAAATGTAACAATTTATTATGTCAGGTAAATTTATCATTCCAATTTCATAATCAGTTAAAGGGGTCATATAATGGTACATGCACTTTTACAAGTTGATTGTACTGAAATGTGTGTTGGCAGTGTCTGTACACAACCATCATATAATGATAAAAATCCATCCAGTGTTTTTGTTTTAATCTCCTTATATGTTTTCTCCTGCCTCAAATCGAGCCGTTCGAGTCTGTGACGTCACACGGTCGGACGCCCCTCCCACGATTGTTGAATGACAGCCGCGTTTCAACACAGACCCGCCCTCGCTCGTGAGCCAGCTGTCAATCATAGTCCGCGCGTACCGGCGCGGTCATTGTTGATATGCTGGAGCACTGTCTATGAGCAGAATGGCGTCTAAGCGATTGTGGTGTTCTGTTCTTGGGTGTAATAACGAACACAGCAGTCATTTTAATGTTCCTAAATCCAAACCGCTGAAGACGCAGTGGCTGAGTTTGTTTTCGAAGGGAATATTCCCCACGAGCAACGTCAATGCTCTCATGTTTGCGCGAATCATTTCACACACCAGACTGCTTTATAAACGAGGAGGTATAAAGCTGGTTTTGCTAAGAAGCTGCTCCTGAAAGGATCGGTACCATCTATTCGTGTTCCTGCAGCTGCTCCAGAAGAAGTGAGTTTAACGTTTTATTAAACTTTATATTAATATTTATATTAATCCTTGTAAATCGCTAGCTGCACGCTTCACGATGAATGCGTCTAAGGTTTACACTCAGGGTACATTACGGCATGTTTTCTATGTATGACATTCTCAATATAATGCATAATCCCACGTTTATACCGAACAACGCGTTATGGTTATTGTGTTACAAACGGTGTACGCCAGAGCCGGCTCTGGTGTACGCATAGAACAGAGATGCGGAGTCAGCAACGCTCATGATCATTTAAAGGCATATACACTGAAACGGCGTGCTGAAAACAGAGCTGTTTTTTACCAGGTAAAATAAGTGTTTTCTTACAATACTAATGAGAATTTTTAATTAAAGTATATTACAAACTTTTAATTTAGGCCCTAAAGAATCATATTAGCTTGTACAAAAATGGCATTATATGACCCCTTTAAAGATAATCAATACAGAACATCTAATGCTCTGGAATAAAGAGAAGACGAACCCGACGTTAGGAAATACGTGAAGCTGAGAGACTCGGCCTCTCTCAGCCTCACGGGCTCATCTGAAGTACAGAAAAGGCCCTGAGCCTTCTGCTGCATTTCATTATATAGACAGACCCCATTTCATATGTAAACATGAGTTCACAGTGGAAATGTACCTTATCAACTTATAAACACTGTCCCAGACTTACTGGTGGTAGAAGTTGATTTACATGGAAACGTGCTAACAGTGGGAATTTGCATTGAGTTAACACCTTCTGAGAGCAGGAGGGTTTTAACCATCCACCCTCCTTTGTGTGTATGTTATCTCTAAACTCTTAAAAACCTTATTACCTTTTGTTTTACTTGTTTGGAAATGAGACATTTGTACCAGTCGCACTGAGACATTTCAAATGATACCAAACGTGTATAAAACTGTATGATAATTGTTCACATTAAAACCATATAGATTCTTGTGTGAGTTTGGGTGATCTGCAAGAGTGAAGAATGAGGGGAAGAAATGTAGATTAGGATGAGGGAGGTGAGACCTTCGTCTCGATAGTGCACGAGGGGGAGTTCAAATGTTCATTTGCAGCAAGGTCCTTTGTCCACTCGAGGAGTGGTCGTTCCTCAACTAGTTTTTCCAGTCTTACAGTGTTTATTAATATAACTCAGATTGTATTCGTCTGAAAGAACAAAGTCATATACACCTAGGATGGCTTGAGGGTGAGTAAATCATGAGGTAATTTTCATTTTAAAGTGAACTACTCATTTAACATTAATTTGTGTGCAGCCTACACAGGGCTCCAGACTAACTTTTTGCCTTGGTTGCACTGGTGCGCCTAACTTTTTTATTTAGGTGCACCCAAATTTTTCCTCGGTTTGCGTCGCCTTTAACGCCCACAATTTCAAGGTCACCTTTTTATCACGCTCCATATACATTCATTAGGGGTGTAACGGTACACAAAAATCACGGTTCGGTACGTACCTCGGTTTTAAAGTCACAGTTCGGTACGTTTTCGATACAGCAAAAAGTAAGAAATGCCAGAGAAATTTCCTATTTGTTAAAAGAAAAAATATTTTTTAAATAAGTGTGAGTTTTCCTACATCTTGAAACTTTCAGGTTTATAAATGGGTGTCATCTTTGAAGGATGAACAAATAATGTTTTGGTCATCACATTAAAAATAACATAAAGAGTTCAGATGCAAAAGCCATTTGAAAGTTTCTTCTAGAATGATCATTTTTATCAAGCTTGTATATTTAAGTTCAGTAATTTCACTTAAATGGCAATGAAGATTACCTATTAATTGTCATTTGAGTGAAATTACTGAACTTGAATATACAAGCTTCATAAAAATGATCATTCTAGAAGAAAATTTCAAATGGCACTTAGAGGCGTTTGCATCGTTTATTTATATAATATTTGAGTTTTGAAGTGCTGGAAAAAGGTGTGTGAAGTACTTGAAAGCATTTCACTATTCCAGCCAAACTGGTTACAGTTAGTGTTACTATTTTAAATCCATGGTGAATGTTGCTGGTCTGTGGACGTAAAGTATTACTAGTTAATTCACGCACAATATTTCTCCTGGTGTCCACGTCAGCGCTGTTTGATCTAATAGAGATCTACGGTTAATAACGGAGAAATGTGAATGCTTCTCACTAGATCTCGCAGCGATGTTATTACTTCAGTGGCGAATTCAAATGTTTTCTTTACTGGATCTCTTAGTGCTGTGTAGTGACAGTGTCGCTTGATCGAGATCGGCTCGCGCTGCACAGATGTTGCTGGTCCGAACTAACGGTCCGTGAAGCACAATATAATGAGTAGCGCAGTTTTGTTCCGCTTTCATTACGCTTGCCATTTGATGTTGCGCAACGTTGTGGTGATCGCGCCAGCGCGAATTTTCTCGGCAGGAAAAATGGTCCAAGGAATCGTTCCGTTTGTATGCGTATCGAACCGGAAGCCTCGTACCGAAACGGTTTCAATACGAATAACGTTACATGTACCGTTACACCCCTAACATTCATATATTAAGTAAATTATTTTAAACAAGAATAAGGTGTATGTAAATACTTTTCTTTTATTTGAAGCACAATTATGCTGTATATAAAAATCTTTTTTTTTAAATAAAAACAAATGTTTAAAGTGCTTCACTGAGCTTCCAAACTAAAAAAATTAAGCAAAATAAAACATTTCAACACTTCCCTGAACTGAGACCTAACGTTTCATGGCTCAAAGTCATAGCGGCCCCCATTATGTTCTCTTTCTTATTAAACCTTAACCAGGGAAACTGTTCTAACCAGTCTTTACGAAATATATATGTTTTTCCCTTTTTATTTTGAGTCTCTATCTCGGGCCCGGTAACGTTACGCCCGTTTCACACATACTCCGTTTGCAGTGCGTATGCGGTGTGTATTTTTTTCCGTACCCATGTTAACAGGTTAGAGCATTCACACTGCACGCGGATGCAGTCCGTCGATGCGTTCCAGGTGCGTATACAGCAGTACAGAGATCGTTCCCGCACCGAGTCTATTTCTGCTGTGCTGCAAACGCTGAATTAAAGTGACAGCACACAGTTCGTGGTCAAAATGAACACAGATTGACCTGAAAATGTAGTAATTTCACCATAAATGTATTTAATTAAATACTACTTTTTTCACAGTCATCTTTTATATTTTAAGACCGGGGTTAAAGAAGGAAAACTACAATTTAGCTCAACAAGGACATAATAAGAACAACACTCGCCTCATTCGTGGAGGTGGAAAAACAAGTTCTTTGTGACATGCAAGATTTATTGCAGCCTATTAAAATTTAAATGCAAAAGAAAAGGCATTAGAGTCGGCTGTTTTTGTCAATTTTAAAATGTAGCACTGATTTTAATATAAGTACATGGTTAAATATTTGACCACTTGCTTGAGCAACTTAATATAGGCTAAGTAATTCATGGAATTATATGCCTACGTTGTTTAAATTGTTTAAACATGCATACGTCCATTCAAGTTTGTATGTGTGTACAAAGAGAATCGCAATGCTGACAAAACTTCTTTTTTTTTTATAAAAGTTGCTGCATAACTTCTGCATTTGAAATAAAAATAGTGAGTAGGCCTATGTGTTTGTGGTACAGCCGCAGATCAGTTACGCACTTCAAACGCAGCATAATGTGAAAGCACTATAGCGCGTGCTGCTCCTGTACCGCATACGCATATGCACTGCACACGGAGTATGTGTGAAACGGGCGAGGCTCTACCTCCGTCTCTGAGTCGGATGCCATCTCCGACGAAGGACCAGGGCTTGGCATCTTACCAGGAACTGGGGAGATTGGCTGAAGTAGCTCCGTGTCTGGGCTGTTGTCGGAGCATTGACCGGGTAGAGTGTAGGGGGGAACAGCAGACCTACTTTTCTTACAGAAAAAACTCTCTATGGGTCTATGTCTTTTCATTATTCGACTTCTGCAGGTTTTTTTGCTGATTGCCGTAACTGATTCTCTTTTGCTCCGGTCGCAATTTCAATCACACAGCACGGAGCCCATATTTAATGGCTCTGCGGAGCCTACATGAATATCTGGACCACAGCCAATCAGAGGCAAAGACCCGCCCCATCTCTGTCTCTGATTGGTTTAGACCACAATATGATCCAACCATGAGTGCGAGTTCTGTCTAGGAGAACAAAAAAAAAAAAAAAAGTTCACCGAGAAGCAGCGGATGCGTGCGAGGACGTTAGGTGCACCCTTACAAATTTTGGTCGCACTCTAGAGCCCTGCTACATTACAATAACTGTCCTGGTTGAAGTGTAGCCTTAATGCATGGGACATATTAACCCCGCCACACCTGCTTTGAAATGGGAACTAATGTTTGGTCGGAACCAAAGTTTACACGACTGTGTTCTCTGGAATCTTCTCAAGCGGAGGACTTCTACATTCCGATTGGTTGCCGCTGAACCGCGTCATAGCTCATTTCCATAAAGTTGCCCTGACTTCAACTTTCCTCGACGCCCACACTGTCCAAGACGCACCGCACCGCTACTCGCCGGAGCTCACCGCCGGTTCCGGCCACTTTGATGCTCTCGCCGGCGGCGGTGTGAAGGAACAGGAACATGTTTTCTGAAGGATCATGTGACACTGAAGACTGGAGTAATGATGCTGAAAATTCAGCTTTGACATCACAAGAATAAATTATATTTTAAATTATTTAAAATAGAAAAGTTCTTTTAAATTGTAATAATACTTCACAATATCACTGATTTTACTGTATTTTTGATTAAATAAATGCAGAGCATAAGAGACTTCTTTCAAAAACAATGTTTTTTAAAATCGTACCCACCCCGAACTTTTGGATGGTAATGTGTATAGGGCTGGATGTTGGTAACGTCTATGGAACATGAGATGAAACTAAAACCTGGCATGGATTAAATTGAATTTTACCGTGTATTAATTTTCCGCAGGCCCGTTTTGATGCTGGTGAGCTCATCACTCAGAGAGAGCTGGTTTCCAGGCAGGTCAGTGAAGATCTGACAGAAAGAGCATCCACCTTCGGTCTCATTCTAGATGACGTCTCTCTGGTAAAGACCTCTTCTTTTCCCCCTCTGTTGATGTTTCAGTTTCTTTCTCCAGTGTCTCACCCTTTTGTCTCTCTCCCCTCAGACACATCTGACGTTTGGCAAGGAGTTCACTGAGGCTGTTGAGATGAAGCAGGTTGCACAGCAGGAGGCTGAGAGAGCCAGGTTTGTTGTGGAGAAGGTAAGAGCCTCAAAATGGAATAGTGCAGTGCATGGTCTGAAATAAACACTTGCCAAATGCAAGTAAAAATTGTCTTTGAGTTACTCCCCAGTTCGATACCAAACCTATTAGGTGTTTATATAAATGACTCTCAATGAGTTATGCGCACTATCAACATCAAAATCACCTGCTAAATAAAATGTGCAAATTGTATCTGATTTTTACCCTCAGAACAATGTGGCAATTTATGTGGAATACTCCCTGCATTAAGATAATGGCGAAATAATTCCATTGTATTTTCTTACTAATTTTAAATATACCATTCAGTAGTTTGGGGTCGGTAAGATTTAATGGTTTTGAAAAGTCCCTTATCCTGACCAAGGCTGCAATTATTTGATCAAAAATACAGTAAAAACAGTAATTACATGATCCTTCAGAAATCATTCTAAAATGCTGATATGCTGCTCAAGAAACATTTCGTACTATTATCAATGTTGAAAACAATTCGCCTTTGGCTAAGGCACACCCTAGAATGTAGATTGACCAATCTGCTTAATATTTTTGTAGAAGGCAAGATAGAAAATTCCGGATTCTTTGATGAATAAAAAGTTCAAAAAGAGAATTTATTTGACACAAATCCGCCTCCTTGAAAAAACATGCTTGTTACTTTTAAAAAAGAAATCTTACCCCAAACGTTTGAATGGTAGTATATATTTGAATTTTATGTATATATTTGTTAAATTAATATTTTAAAGGCAAAATTAATGATTAAAAAGTGATATTTTTTTTGCATCTAGAATGTAAAATGTTTAGTTTTTCCAATAAGCAACAGGTGATGCAACATTTGTCCCTGTAATTGTCTCTCAGGCAGAACAGCAGAAGCAGGCAGCCATTATATCAGCGGAAGGAGACTCCCAGGCTGCGCTGTTGATCGCTGATTCTCTAGCAGTAGCTGGTGACGGCCTGGTGGAGCTGAGAAAGCTGGAGGCAGCTGAGGACATCGCCTTCCAGCTCAGCCGCTCTCGCAATGTTACCTACCTCCCATCTGGACAGGGAACGCTCCTTCAGTTACCACAGTGACAGGGAAACTAGAGACACACACATACACTCACTTCTCTTTTTTTTGTTGCAAATTTGGCTACTTTTGGAAAAGATGATGTCTGTAGACCCCATGCAACTATCTGATCAGCCTATAGGCAAACCTTATAGAGGCAAAGACAACTTGTTTTTCTCTCTTTTAGTCCAATAATTTACTTGCTCTCTTCCTGAAAGTATGGACTGCCACAAGGTGGTTACAGCAATTGAAAAGAGTCTGTGTGTATGCAAATGTACTGCCGGTGCACATATATATTTGCATTTGAAATGTTTTCTCTGCTAAATGTGAGTTGATATTGTTTAAAATTAAATTGTACGTTCATGAGTAGTGAGACACACAGACTGCATTGTCAATGTGTGCCATGCTGCTGGATGATTGACATCAATCTCACTCTCTGCTAATGCAGGACCGGCTGTGTTGTTTTTTTGGTTTGAAAATGTTTTGTTATTGTATGTACGTGGCAGAAGGAATGCTCTTGTATTCTACAAGTGGCGAATTGATAAAATAATCAATAAACAACAGTGATTCATTTATATTAAACCAAAATACAATTGAATGTCTCATTTCAAATGAAATTCAATGTTTTTTGTCTTAGAAATTACTTGAAAATGAGAAACTGTAATGAGAGATACTTTTATTTTAATTTATAGACACAAAGGAAGTCAAAATGTATGTGTCATTCATAATTTAATACTATATAGACTAATTTCTTATTCATTGCTTAGGCCTAAATTGTGTTTCAATATTTTTATTAACAATTTCACAAAATCTATTGTAATTACATACAATAAAGTAAACAAACTACCCAAGACATCTCTTCCACCACCCCAAACCCTCAGAATCCAATCCAATAGTGATATCCAGTGATAAGAGGAGCATATAGAAATAAAAGACATATTAATATTCACAATTCTGAGGAAAAGAAACAAAAGGGGACCTGGGGCCGTATGTAAAAAGCCGATCAGAGTAAAAAAAAATTCCGAAGTATGTCAAAATTCTAAGAATGCCGCAATTTTACCCATATTCCTAGACGTAAGAAAGCTGGAGAGGTATCCTAACCCAGTTAGGAGTAACAAGGTGGCAGCAGAGACGAGGACACCACACACTTTCCAACGAAGATATGTTATTGGAGTTATGATGGCAGGGAGTTGATAAAATTATATAAGCTTGATTGTCAAGGTATTCTTTTTATGACTGACCTAGTAAGACATTTAATAACATCTGCCACTCTACAAATCCGTGCTCTAACTTAAGAAATGAAAGTAAAAAAGACATTTTTTGACGACTGGAAAAATACAGCAGTGCACCGGTGATGACTTGGGGCCCATCAGTCCACAGTAAGCAAATAACACTTTTGTGGCACTAACCACACCAAACATGCAGTACTGGCCAAAAATGATTTCCGGAGGAGATAATTGTTTTTAATGACCCTGCAAGTTTGATCAAACCATCAAAATATGAGTTAAATATTTTATATATTTTTAAACATTTAAAATATAAGGCAAGAAAAAAAAGCTAAACCTGGTTAAGGTATTTATCTGACAAAAGTAATTGGCAAAAAAGACAAACTATGACTACAGGTACAAAAAAAGCAAGCAAGGCAAAACTCAGGAAAAAGCATACACTGACTACAACTTAATTAGTTACTGATATTTTGTTCTCTCTTGTTTTTGCATGCTGTGTATATAATTTCTTTGTATGACAGCCTGGTCAAAAATTATGTACATAATTTGGCATGTTTCATGGCGTTATCACAAATGAAACAATTGACTCCAAGCACAACTCATTCCACATCATCAGTACTTATTCATGATAATTTTGCACAATGCAGAGCAATTCTTTAAAGGTGGGGTATGTGATTTTCTTTTTTGACCATTTTTTCAAAATCACTTGAAATCCTATTCCTAACCCACTTACAGCCACTGAGTTAGAAGCACTGAAATTAAAATTAAGCAATTTAATCATCTGTGGAACGGGCAGGACTCGAAAAACTCCAGCCAATCATTTCCAAGACCACCTAGAATCATTGGACAGTAAGTGCGTCAATCAAACAGTCGTACCATACCCCCCTCCCCCATCCCCCTTGAGCGAGTCAAGGGCCAGCGTTGGAGGAAAGAAGGTAGGACCTTTTGAGTTGTGTATTTTCAAAATTTGCCGGCTGTTTTGCAAATCACATACCCCACCTTTAAATAAATGTAAATATGAAACGTTTAATTAAATGATTTTTTATTATAATGACTTTAAATGATTGGTGTCATGCTGCCATGACCACACTTCCAGGCTCACTATTTGCTGATTCAAAGGTTGAGGGTGGGCATTTTTGGGTTGACATCACTGTGACAGAATTTTCATTTTTGTGTGAACTATCCCTTTAAGTCAAAGCTTAAGCCTATTCTTAAAGGGTACCCAAAAATGTAAATTCTGTCATTATTTACTCACCCATTTAGTTTCAAAACCATAAGACTTTCGCTCATCTTCAGAATACAAATGAAGATCTTTTTGACGAAATCTGAGAGCTTTCAGTCTCTCCATTGACAGCAACGCCTTAAAAAAGTTAATAAACAGATTGTAAAAGTAATCCATATGAATTTTGATGTCTTAGTTATTTCCTGAAGCGACACGATCAATTTATATGATGAACAGATTGAATTTAGTCTTTTATTCACATATTATAAATATTTATCAACGAACATAAACAGAGCTCAACAGTATTTGTTTGACGCACAAGAAACCTCTTGCTGCTGAAGAGCTCAAATGTGCTGCGCAGAGCCGTTGAAAAGGCTCTGGTGCTGCGTAACACACGAGAATGAACCTCATTGGTTCTTGCTGAAGCTCAAATGTGCTGTGTAAAACAAGAATGAACCTCATTGGTTCTTGCTGAAGCTCAAATGTGCTGCGTAAAACAAGAAAGAATCTCATTGGTTCTTGCTGAAGCTCAAAGTAGCACGAGAATGAACTTCATTGGTTCTCACACGTCAAGCGACAATTCTTGAGCTTCTGTTTACCACAACTGATGTGTGCCTTGATGAATGTGAATAAAAGCCTAAATTCAAACTGTTCATCATATAAAGCAACCAGGTCTCTTCAGAAAATTAACTAAACCGCTCAATTCATATAGATGTCACAATCTCTTTATTCATTTTTTGAAGTGTCAAAGTGTCAGTTGCGTAACTGTCAATGGAGGGCTCAAAAAGCTCTCAGATTTCATCAAAAAGAGCCTCATTTGTGTTCCGAAAATGAACGAAAGACTTACGGCTTTGAAACAACATGAGGGTAAGTAATTAATGACAGAATTTACATTTTTGAGAAGTTTTATACATACAGCCCCAGATCTTTTCATTTAACGAAAGTTAGCCTATACTCTAAAGTCTTTAGAGTAGAGTTCCTGATTCTTTCTAGATGTACTAGTTAACTAAAGGTACATTTTAGGCCACATTTGTGAAACACACTTCAGACTTGGCAAATATGCCTTTAAGTGTCCACTGGAGGGCATCAGTGCTTTTAAATCTGAAATCATATGCCTTCGCATACACCTAAGAGAGACCATGAAACATAAAGAAATGGCTAAATGTCCCTTTAATGCAAGGAGCCTGTACGTTAAGAGTTGTAAAATAATAATAATAATAGTAGTTATTTTGACATACAGATTTTCTTTACTGGGAATAAAAACATCTGCACTTTCTTTTGCCTTTCTCATTTTACACATATTTTTGAGGCCAAATCTATAAGCTTGCTTCTTTTCAAGTGCATTTTGTAACAGATTACACACAATCTGTTGCAGACTGAGCATTTATTTTCTCACTCTTCTTTGTCATTGTCTTGTTCCACTTATTTCTTTCACTCTTGCCTGGAAACTAATCTCTGCAACATGAACACATGTATATGCTTCAACTGAGTAGAAGCTTTTGGTTTCAAATCAAAAATACTACAATGCAAACTCCTATGTTATTAATTTAAAAAGAGCTTTAAGACAGACAGCGAACTTCACTGCAGGAACACATACAGTAATCTGTAACTGTGTCATTAGGGCCCAAGCACCGATAGTGTGAGGACCCTCTTGGAATTGGTCCGTTTATTAAATTACTGTATATTTGGATAGAAAAGAGAAGCATGATAAATAGAGAGATAAATGAGAAGTGGAAATCATAGTATTTACTATTTATACATTTCACAGACACAACAGTCTTCCTACACAGGATGTCGATTTTTCTTTCCTGTTTTACACTTGTGCTCAAAACACTTTTGTGGGCACTTACAAGACAAATATTCATCTAAGACAAGCCAAATTATTTGGAGTTTGAATAAACTAAGTTTAACTGTGAGATGACATGCTAAGAGAATCACTCAGTTGAGAACTCCTGCTCTGACTCTTAGTTGAAATGAGCCTCTTCCATTAGTGCTGATCCCAATATCAGTGTTGTGATGTAAATGAAAACAGCAGCTGCTCTCTCAGGCCAGTTTGTCAGTCATCTCTATGGAAAGAAAGAAGATGAGGACAGGATATCATTTCAGATGTTTAGCTGAGGTCATCATATGTCATCATCACTGGGTGTTAGTGCAGCAGATGCTATACAGTCAAACAGTCCCGGAATGCCAAACACACCCACAGAACATATAGGCCCAAAAACACAACTAATGTAGCTAATATGAGGAGACAGATGCGTGCAACCACCAAACTATTTATGGAAGCACATGATTGATAACACAGACAACAAATCAATTAAACACTTAGTGCTCTTTATTATGTTGCATCAGTGCTAAAATGTTCCTGTCTTCGTCGGAAAGAGATTAAGACACAAAAAGCCTGTACTGCTCACATAGTCTGGTCTGGAATGCTTTGAAACATCAGCTCTTTCAATCACATTTTCAATCAAGGATTAGAAGATTTCACATTTAGCTACATTATATTTGACAGATTTTTATTCAAAGCAACTCATGTTACATTCACATTGTTGTAAGAGTTCATGCATTCTCTGGGAACCGAACCCATTGAACCCAAACCATGCTGTTTGAGCTATACAGGAACTATAAAACAAAATAAGAATTAGGGCCAGTTTCACAGACATGGTTAAGATTAAGCCAGGATTAGGCCTTAGTTCAGTTAGCTAGCTTTATAAATGTGCCCTAGAAAAAAAACATTACTGGTGACCATCTTGAGACAAAACAATGACACTGACATATTTTAAGAAATGTCAATGTAAGTTGCTTTCAGTTAAAACAGCTCAAAAATGCATTTTAGGCTGGGACTAGTCTTTAGCCTGGTCTGTGAAACCGGGGGTTAGTGTTAGTGTAAAGTGCCTTACTTACCTCTAAAAACTCATTGCTCCAAATACTTTTTTCGTCTCTATTACTGACAGTTCTCAGTTCACAATAACAATTTGGTGATGAAGACCAAGACCCGCTTAATAAAGTTCTCAAAATTGTTAGTGCTTTCTCACAGTGTTAAACTGGCAGCTGCATTTTCTCATTTAGTTTAGCAAACGTTCCATCAAGCGAAGAAGTCACTTTTGTCGATGTGCTTCACCGCAGGGAGGAAGGCGGGCGCGCGCAC